GTTGCGCTCACTCTATGTTTATAGCTAAAGGATGAAACACAGACTGCATTCAAAAGTGTCTTTTTGTATATTACTTAAACTGATCCCTTGTGTGCTACTCTATTATTTGATATAATAGCTGATCTCAATGATATCCTTTATGATATTACGCATAAAAAAACGTACCTTATCCTAGCATAAGCATAAAGGAGATAAACTGCCGTATTGCCTCGATCATCAAGCATCTGAAATGGGATGAACATTTGGCCACAGTTGTATGCTTGCAAATATATCGCACTGAATCATGAAACTCTATGAGAAATCTGCCAAAGTCTGTATGAGATGGGCAAATCCCGGCGGAGTAAAAAGTCCTGCTTCCGACGAGGATAATAAAAACCGCTTTTCCCCACATACAGGCAGTCCCACAGCCTCAAAGTAAAAAAGTGCCACACCCCTTTGCAACATGAAGCATAAAATTCGTAAGAGAAATATATGCGAACCTAAGAAATCCCTAAAACAGTGAAAAGAGTAGTACCTTGTCGAATGAGAAGACATAATCTTGCGTACGAGTCTGCGATAAATCAGCATACTTTATGCAGCCATAAGCAACAGCATCACGAGCAGCGGCCAGCTCCTCCGTAGACATTACCTGCATAAGTATACAAGTTTTTCCTTTGAGTTCCAAAATGAACCACAAAAAGAACTAGTTCCTCGCTGGTTTCTAGTAACTTTACTTGAGAGAGACACTTCGAACGCGAAAATTAACTGAACCTTATTTCGCTCTTTTTCTAGTAGCTTCGCTTCTGCTCTTTTCACTCCTTCGTCCAGCAAATCTGTTAGCCGCACTGTATCACCCGAACGAGTTTTGAACTTCTTCCTGAAATAAAAGGCAAGTGAAATTTTTGAGTCTCAGGTACTACTGAAAGCGGATAATTTATCGAGAAAACCCAAGATCTCCACAATTTATCCTCAAGTTGAACACACTTCTTCAGCACTGTTTCGAGCAAAATGATTTTTTTTTAGAATATTTTTCACCGAAAGTTATTTGGAGTAAACATTCTAAATGCATAAAGTACAGCTCATAGAGAGAAACAAGGCGCAAAAACGGAACATACTTGTCTTCACCGAGAACCAGACCAAAGCTAACATGTTCCACTCTTTTCTCAAGCGGTGAGTACCAGCCAAGTTTGCGGCCGGCAGCATACAAAAGCTGAAAAACGAAACGCCGTAGTTTACTATTTCTTCGAGCCTTCCCCTTAGTTTTGATATTCCAGGACGCTTTTCGGTCGGTCCGAGCAAAGCCAAAAAAGCC